ACCGGGCCGTTGTCGGTGATTGCAGTGTCTCGCGAAGGGCGTCGGGGTTGGTGGTTGAGGTGCCCCAGGATCCTGTGGTCGGGGACTGGAGGCCTGCCTTGGCGGCCGAGGAAACACTGCCAGTACTGGCTACGGAGGCTTTTCGGGGCGCATCTTCTGTGGCGTCGGCGGCTGGGGTCTCTGCTTTCTTTTCCGGCTCGGCGGGAGTCTCAGCTGACGCGGTAGCAGCGCTCGCGCCTTCGGCCTTCTTCTCTTCGGCCTTCTCGTCCTTCTTGCCGTGAACCTTCTCGCGCAGCGATTGCAGGCGGAGTTGCTTAGCCTTCGCGGCTGCTTCGTCGGCGATGGAGCGCACGGGGAGCGCGGTCGAACTGCCGCTTGCTGCAGGCTTCGGGTCGGCAGCGGGCTTTGAAGCGGCGTTGTAGGTCTCGTTCTTTGGCAGGGGTGGAGCGGCCGGTGGTGCAGGGGGTGCAGGGCCCGCGGTGGATGGCTCGCCTTCTGCTGCGGCGGCTGGGACCTTCTTCTTGATGACCTTCTTGATGATCTTAGGCTTGTTGTGAATATTTGGGATGGTGAACTCGTCGTAGTAGATCTTGACATGCTGCTTCAATTCGCCGTACTCGTTCCACTCTTCGATTTCGGTGAGGTCCTGGTTCGAGGAGCGGATTAGCTCATTTCCTGCGGATGGAAGAAAAAGGGGTAACCCACGCCGAGCACCAAGCCCTCTTGAATCAGGCCCGGAAGTCTTCTCACGCGGCCGGATGCATCTTTGCCGGCGCGGCGGCCCCAGAGCATACGGGCCTTCTCATCGGTCGCGATGTCGATGGCCTTGAAGGGGACACGGTTGGCGCGGAGGATCGTCTCGAGACGGGAAGTCGCGGTGACAATGTGAGAGGAGCCGGCGGTCAGGGAGGTGAAGATCCAGAGGGCTGGATCGGTCGAGAAAGTCGTCGCGGTTGCCATGATTCGGTGTTCTTTTTCGATGCGGGTCGAGGTTGTGGTGGAAGATGGGTGGTTGCAGGGAAGAGCTTCTGGGAGGGAGGGCCAGCTGCCGGGAAGCTTCGGGGGCCAGATCAGTCAGCAAAGGAAATGTCACCGGACCATGGGGATGGGCGTTGGAAAGAGAGGATCTGCAACGGGATGGGGAAGAATCTTGCATTGCGTGCGTACCTTGGGTTTGGATATCTTTGGGATTCTGTATTATGACATGTGTTTGCGTTCCAAACGACGTGAGGCGTACGTGGGCTGGAAGTTGGTCGGTGGAGGTCCCACGCAGATGAAACTCAAAGGGTCGTGGTAGGTCAGCGGCGGGTAAGATGCGGGGGCGGGGTAGCTGGTTCGTTCCATTCAGCGACCTGAGGGAACAGAGGTGCTGCCCAAGGCTGCACTTCCCATCTGAAGGGGACGAGAGGGAACAACGCAGAGAGGCCACTTGCCCAATGAGTGCAGCAAGTGGCTGCTGGGCTGCGCTGGCAGAGCTGCACTTGCATAGGCTCGCGCTTACTACCGCCCAACTCGCCCTTGCACCTGCATCACCCGCTCCTGCGCGATGATGTGGTCGGCGGTGTCGACTGCGACTGGCGGTGATGCCTCATTCGCACGACACGCGACACCGCCCTTTTCTCTGGAAAAACATTTCGACCCGGCGCAACGGACCGGCAAACGCCAATCACGTCGAATGCATGGCGGTGACAGTCGTCGGCTATTCCCGTTCTCGTGTTGTCCCGAGGGGGCATCCAAGGCATACTCAATCTTCGCCAATCAAGATGCCGTGTTGGGCACCGTTGATACGAGAACTGCGAACCAAGAGATAAATTTGGACAACCAACATGTGACCAGCTGCAGACAGACCAACATGCCTTTGGGACAGATCTTCTCAGCAAATGACAGATCGCTGCTCGCAAATCGGACACCGCGTGTCATCGGCAGCAGCAATCGACACTGATCACAGTTCCGAAAAACCGTTCGCTGGTCCACAGCACCAATCTAGGTGCTTCACATCCGACAAGCACCTGACTCTTTGGCCAAGGGCTTGCCGTAACAAACCTGAAGACCTCGTATGGTACGATGTCGACTCTGGGCCCCCATCACAGGATTCGAAACATCGCCCCCGACATGGAATGTGGCCTGTTGCCTGCGACGTTGGTGTTAAGCTAGCACCAGGCTATGAGCACGGCGACGGGCAAGCGCTGCGCGGCAACGCGGCAACACCACCGCAACTAGCCATGCCTCGATATCCGAGCGCTCTGGCCTGTGGTTCTCGTTCGTTGTCAGAGAGAGGTTTGCAATAGAGACATCTGTCGACAATCAACTCAATTGCAAGCAGACCAACATGCCCCCCAAACAAGTTCAGCAAGGGCCTCCTGGCAATGTACGCCCATTCAATTTCGGGATGCACGAGAGGTATCTGCCGGTTGTAATCAACATGGAGGACTTGAGCGATGTGACAACCAAGACAGAAACGATGGACAATGGTTTCACGTTGCAATGAACGAACTCAGAGGGGGGTTTTTCGCTCTGGCGCGGAAAAGACAAACGTCCGCCAGAGCGATTTCCTACCGACTGTTGCACAACAACGCAAGTGGCCCAGCTTGCTGCAGAGGAATTGCGGAAACTTGGATTGCTCATTGACGATCGCATTCAACAGACGCAGTCGGAGGGGGTTAACCGACATCGTCATCATCTTTGCGAGCCATGCAAAAGCTAATCGCCGACCCCATCGTGGCAGCTTGGCCTCATCTCGGAAGAGCACTCGGACGAGAGAAGACTCCACGCTCGCAAACCCGCATCAGGCTTGACGAAGGATACACTTTGCTGGCCCCCGGGCTAATATACGCTGTCAACTCTCAGAGTGTTGCGTAGGCCCCCTCCAGATGGGAAATGGCAGTGGAGACCCCCATGATTGGGGTCATTTTCTCGCGCCGATTTACAGTTGCGCCGACAAGGGAACCCTCTGGAAGCAACGTCTTGAACTTTGGTTCGCCGGGATCTGGTAGTGAGATTGACGGTTCGAGGAGCAACCTGAGTGGTGTTTCAATGCTAGGACCCTGGAGCCTCTGGGGTCACACCGTGGAACCACGAAATGACCGAGCAGAAAGAGAAAGACCTGAATCGGCCGAACGATAAGGATCGTACGGCACACAGCGTCGTCATTGCAGACGAGAGCGGGAAGGGGAAAAGACGCATCGTATGGTGGGTTGTTTCTGTTGTTGTCCTCCCGCACCGTTTTTGGCGTTGATTCAGGTTTTCCTTTTTTTCTGCTGGGTGTTCTGGATTTTGCCCGGTACGCAGCAGGATCCAATATTAGAATGTTTAGACCGGACGACGGCATCAGCGCCAGCTAATGTCGGGCTAGAACATCTGCTTCGCCTCTTGGCTGCAAAGTTTTCCATCCGTCGACGGATAGCAAGCCGCATCGGCGCCATGGCGGGAGGGCAGAGCGATGGCTTGACTGTTGGACTGTCTTGTTCGACTTTACAGTGTGGTCCGGGACAACCCAAAAGAATGGAAACGACGTGGAAGACAATGTAAATCCCTGATTGTGCGGGCAATGATTGGCAGGCGCATTTCCCACGACAACGGCGACGGCCCCCCAACAGCAGCCACATTTGCGCCCACGTCCCGGAGGACTCCAGACAGAGGCAATCAGAAGTGCAGCATCGGCTTGGGCTCTTGGCAATGGCGGCAAAGAGGATTTGATTCGACTGACTCTGCGCGTCTCTGCTCTCGAGCGAGTGAGTTCGGATGAGTTGTTTTCGGACGACATGGGCGCTGCTGTTCCTGCAGGGTGCTAGCAGGGATGGCGGGGGCGATCCTCAGGGGCGCTCCAGGAACGAACCAGTGGGAGGTGCAGCCACCGCCCAGGGTCGACAAGCGCAGCTCAGTGCCGTCCCACCGAGAAGGTTTGCGCAGCCAATCATGGCGCCACTGACCCATTTTTGGACACGATCTTGAGGTGCCGTGGCCCGTCGCCCGGCTTTCACAGCTTTTTCTGGGCCTGGACACCGGGACGCCGACAGACACAAGCACACACAACAGGCACCATCCTCAGGCCTCATCTCCTGGGCTTGCCTAGGTTCTCTCACTCAGTGTCTCTGGCATCTGCTGCCGGTCGGTGTCTCCCCCAAGGCATGGACAAGGCAGGTCTACCGCCAAGCAAGACAAGCATACCGTTGGCTTTCATTGGCAAGAAAAGCAAAAGCCAAAGCCGAGAGAGGGCCCCCATCCCCCATCCCATATCCTCGTTCCGCCCACAGGCCGCCCATCCATCCTAGAACCTGACCTAGGTATCCTCCCTCCAGCTGCCGCGTAGGCGACCAACGGGACCTCGCAGGCACAGATGCAGGTGCAGGCATAGGCAATAGGCACAGGCTCAGCTGGGCTCAGGCACAGACAGCCCAGAGGGACGTGGACAGTGGGCACGCCATCCAAAGTCGACCCAACCCAGCGCTGGCAAATTTTCCGCCGCCAGCCCATGCTCTGTCCGCGCTTATGTGCGTGTGCTTATTGTCGTGGATGGGAGATGGCGGATGGGGGTGAAGTGGGTGGTTCCCTAGCCTGCCCTGGGTGGTGGTGTTGGTGGTGGGTGATGGGTGGTGGGTGATGGGTGGTGGGTGGTAGCCGTCCAGTACCTCAGGTGCGGTCACGTCGTCCACAGGCCGCTTCGATAAAAGGAGAAATACCTCGCCTGTCCCCTCCCACACGCCTTACACGGTTTTTGCTTCCTCACCGTTGTTGCTCTCTTTACCATCGCGTCCGGTGCCCACACTCTCTTGACATCTGCTCTTCGTCATCGTGCCTTCTTTGCACATCACTCTCTTTTCAAACATATCTATCGACAAGACAGCATCGTCACGTCAATTCCTTGACACCGCATTCCTTTCGGCCCACGCCTGCACGCACAACTCTCAATTCGGTGGAGAATCACTCTTGGTCATACATCGACTTATACCAGCACTTGAATCATCCGCGACTCTTCGTCTTCATCCTTCAAATCATTCAAAATGCGTTTCACCAGCATCTTCGCCCTCATGGCCGCGTCCGTCGCCGTCGCCCAGACCTCCGCCGACGAGACCACCACTACCATGACCGCCACCACCACCAAGACCGTCACCATCACCAAGTGCAACCCGACAAACACTGCCTGCCCCCTGTACACCCCGACCACGACGATCCTGCCCACCATCAACTCGACCACCAGCGTCGTCGTTCCCTCCACCACCTCTACCTCCTCCACCTCCTCGAGCCGCTTCTACGCTGCCTCCAACTCTACCACCTACGGCCCGACCGCCACTGCTCCCTGGACCACCAAGTCTTCCGTCACTGCCATCAAGACGTCGGCCGACTCTGGCGTTGCTCCTTCCTCCGGTGCCCCCGCTACCACCTCCGCCCCCGCCAGCGCTGGTAACGGTCTTTTCGTCCAGAGCGGTCTGCTGGCTGCTGTTGTCGGCCTTGCTGCCATCGCTCTCAACTAAGCGTGTCGCCACACTCATCCAACATGACATGAGTACCGAAATTTATTAACTCCTTTGTCACTTTTACTTAATTCGATTCTACCGATACCACCATTTATTCTACGGGGATAGGCTGATTGGAGAACTTTTTAAATCTTAACAACTACTATGGGTGTTATATCTATCGGAGAGCGTTTTGGAGCCTTGGCTACCGGATGGCCTTCACTTCTGGCCGTAGACTTATTGTTTGGGCAGTAGGACGGATTGGAGGAGAGTTTATACCTAGTCGGAGTTGCCCGCATACATACCCCTATATGGTGCACATACTCTTTATTTGAATGACACGATCATGAGATGACCTCACTCTGAATGCTTCACTGTCACTGGCATGCGAATCGTTTGTGAATGACGCACAATGGCCGCTTCAATACATGATCTCCATCGAGGAACTTGGACGACTCAGATCTGCTATGGACGTTTCACAAGCACCTCACTCGAATCTGCCCTGCCCTGAATTCCTCTCAACAAAGCCAATGTGTCTGACCTACATCTCGTCTGACAGCCTGACAGCGCATCAGCGGTAGTGCGCCTGCACTCTTGAAATGAAGTATGCCTGCTTTATATAAGATGATTCACCTTGAGGGAAATGGCAAGTAAGGAGGCATGCGGTCTTGTATGGAAGAGAGCCAAGACAGCATTAGCCTAATGTAACACAGCTCCTGCCCGCCGTTGGGACTTGAAAACGGCGGCCTCGACCAATGGCGTCTTTCCAAAAGGCCTCTTTGGTTCGATGGCTGTTTCCACGCACTGATTCGCCCACGTGGTTGCCTTACTAAAGGAACGGGCCGCTGGTTAGGTCTCGTCAACAAAGACATTCAACGTCGCCTCCCCATTCTACAGATCCGTCATCTTTCTCTCTGACATTGACCTCTCACAGAAACCTCTTGCTACAGTAGGACATGGCTGGACTTCATGTTGTTCAACTTTGAATTCTGCACCGAACAAGGATGCCACAACGCCGCCTCGGGTTCCGACGGTTATGCGCCAATCGAGCATCATCAACACGCACGATCCCGGCAGCTTGCATCCCTGCATCGATCGCTTCGATTGGCACCGAATAGCAGTTTACGCTTCGCCTGCGCTGCGCTGCGCCCATCGACCTCCTGCACAGGTCAAACTTCAAAAGACGAGAGCACTTGAGCACAGGAATGAATTAATCTACGCGGTGTACAGTACCCAAATCCGAGACCTTTTTTCCTCCCCATTCCAGCTCTATCCGGCGCGTTGAACCCCGCGAAACAAAAGCAACCCCTCCAAGGCAAAGAACTCCAAACCCGCTGCGCCTATTACAGATTATGCTTTGGGCCGCGTCGATATGAATGCAGACGCAGGCTTCGGTTCCTTTCCGAACTGCGTGGGTCTGTTGCTTGCCGACCTTTCGCATCAACTTGAAACCATTTCCTTGCTTCGACAGCAGTCCTGATGAAGATTGTATTTAGGAGTGCCAGCGTGGCGATGCGGTCGGTCAGTGGGTGAGACGCGGGGATCACTCGAGTCTGTGGCCACGAGGGGCATAGCCAAATGACGGCTTCGCGTTCGCTCTGTCCCAACCACTGCTCCACGCCGTCCTCCTTTTTTATGCGTTGCGCGCCGATCTTTCAGCAATTCCCCTGCGCACAACGGTCGCATAGCGTCTTGTCCGCCGGTATACGCTCCTCACAACCGCATACGGCCTTGTGATCACATTGCTTCATCGACATATTATTCGTTTGTGGCTTGGCGTGGGAACAGGTGCTGCTATTGGAAGGAGAGTCGATCATGATTTCGGTGGTGGCGTTCGTCGGATCTTCTTTCTCAACATAAACCTTGAACAAGGTTAGGACGACTTCTTTCGCGCGGTCCGGTCGTTTGAATAGCGTTCACGGCTCGGCCCGCTGAAACTGTTCTGACGGAGAAACCGGGGCTGCCAAGTTTCGAGAAGGGACGACGCAGATAGAGGGCGCCCAAGGTGGACGGGTGTACGGTGGGCTTTGCTGGTAGCACGACAAGCAAGGTCTCTTGAGGTTGGGCAGGTCCGGTTTTCGAAGGGGGTCTTCTTCGCACGAGGTGTCGGTAACGGTTCAGTCTTTCGATTGTCAGCTCCATCGTTCCAGAAGGGATGGGACTCATACGCTTATATACGTTTTGCCTGCCAGCACCGCACACACACACACACACACACACACACACACACACAGCCGTCCTCTCGCGCTTGCGCACAAACGCACACAAGCTCACTTACATCTGACAATCGACCCGCGTTCGTATGCGGGCTACGAGACGCGGAGGAGCCATGCAGGGTGGCACCGAACCTACATAACCTGCTTCGTCGAATCCCGCCCTCGTCGCCTCTCAAATTTTCTGTCCTGCCGGGGCTGTGGCAGTGCGCCCCTTGCCTGGGCCAACCGGCTTTTGCCTATTGTGCAGTTTGTCCTTACGCTGACCCAATACTGCAGGATGATACGTTTGATGCTAAATCATCATCCGGTCTGCGTGTTGTTTCCTTCTCGTCTGGTCTTTCAGTTTCCTAAAGTCATCCTGCTTCGGGACCGGCCTCTTCCTCCGGCAGGAAAGACTTTGAGCACCCTGTTGGCCAGGATGGTGCGAGGTCTGACTTGGCAACACGGCAAGCTTACGGGTTCAGGACTAGGACCTGACTCTTGATGCCGTCCGCTCTCCAGAACATGGCCGATTCACCCCTCTCACCCCTCTCTCTCCTCTCCTGCTTCACCAATGCGCCTGGACCAACTCGCTTCGACATTGCTCCGTCGCACTGAATCAAGAAGGTTCACTGTCATCTTCATGCTCTCCCCCACGTATTGCAACCTACATCACCCGTTTATGTTGAGCATCTGACAACTGTCAACCTCCTCGACAACACAGGACCAGACCAAGGTATGGCCTGTTCTGGCGCAATATCGTCTCGAAATTTTTTGATGAGGTGCATTAGTGGATCAGGAAACGGGTACCTGACCGAACCATTCCCACTCCGGTGCGCAGCGTGTGGAAACCCTGCCATATCCGACGTGATATGGCCGGGGGACGGTTTGCAGATTTGAGAACGAGTCCGTTTGTGTCGACAAGGGCTTGTTGAATCTCAACTCCTTTTCACCTGCAGTACGCGAGGTCAATCCGCTCTCGGGGCAGCGCCAACAAAACCGCTCAACAGCAAACCGGGCGACCGGCTTTGACTATCCGGCGAAGCTACATTCACTTGCATTCAAATGCTGTGCGTTACGGGAGTGAGACAGGCCGTTGGGTTTGTTATCTACCGACCAATGGCTTGACAGAATAAGAAACCCGAGGAGAATCTGACAGAAACCAGATCCGGGGACGCGCGATTAGGCTGAGGATGTTGTGCAGATGGAGTCCCTCTGTACGGCCGAAAGAGACGGTGGAATGACATGCTGAGAACGACTTGCGCGGCACCCCGGCTTTCTGGGGCAAACCAGTCCACTCTTCCAGAAAAGACTTTCCCGCTTGAGGCTATCCCTGAGGGCCGGTGCCTAGGCCTACTGTTCCTTCGACCTTGCCAGGGTCAGGGGTCAGCTGTCAGTTTTCAACTTCGAGCGCCGGACACACTGCATCAGCATGCTTGAACTTTGCATTTGGGGGGGATTTGCCGGGTGAGCCGTTACCACCTTCTCGCACACTCGGCGCTCCTTGACATGATTTCTTCTTCTACCGAATTACTTTGAACGGAAAACGCATCGGCTGCATCGTGCGTCACGGAACATCTTCCCGTCCACACGAGGCTCTCGTCGCTGCTGTCGGCAGCCCCCACCAAGGAACCATGTCACCGGGATCCTTTCTGAGCCAGTCGACACGGCCCGGGGAGCTTGGTGGGATGTCCCGCGGAGGAGGGCCATTGGCTGGACATAATCTCGCATGCCCGTCACCTGCCTTGTGCATCCTGTGTGCTGTGCATTTCCCTCGCTTGCGAACATCCGGGACAGAGGGGTGGCCCATGAGCCCGCGAAGATGGGGATCTTCGAGATCCCCTTCTGCCGCTTGACAAGTCAAATTTAACAAGCCGTCAGCAACGTTTCCTCCCTCCTTCTGCCGGAGTCAAGTCCGACATCCGATACCTGCATTCGCTGTGCGTCTCGGTCATTTCTCTTCTCGCCTTTTTGCAGTTATTTTGGGCAAAGATTTTGCCGCGGCACGCGAGGTATTTCTCGTTGAGGCGGGGGGAGGAGAGCTTTTGTTTGCCCCTCCCCCCGGACGTGAAACGAAACGGGGGCTTCCTGGCTCCATGTGCAGTCTTTTTGAGAGCTGTGCGGGAAAACAACGTGGCAGCACCCGGATGCGCCGCTGTCAACTGTGAGATGCGACGAGCCTTCAGCTATGCCTTCTACTGCCATGTGGCCCTCTGGGATTCTCTAGTCTGCTTTTGCCCATAGGTTGTGGGCGTTTTCTCCTTCTGGATGCATGCGCCGAGGTACGCACAAAATACAGCGGCACTGCGCGGGTGGTTTTTGAAACGTAAGAAAGGCGGGCCCGCGTTCCCCGGGAGGGGCATTAGCATTGTAAGATTTAGGAAAATGCCCGTTTTGGGACTTTGGAAGACTGGGCCGGCATCGTGAGATGTTTGGTTCGGCATGCAGGATTTGTGGTGTCCGACGTTTTGGGAGGTCGCTCAGGGGTGGGTGGATGAGAGACGTTCATTATGAGGGGTTGGCAAGGTGCAAGGGGGTTTGTATGGCTCACGATTTCGCTTGTTGGTGGCTCTGATGAAGTTTGGACATTGTAGGAAGGGCTCGATTCAAGTCTGGTTTTCTGGATGGTTGATTCTCGTACTGAAGTGCAGGCTTATTGAAGCAACCTGCGCGTGCTTAGTATGTGTTGTGAATGGTGCAGAAACTTGGCAAGATGTCTAACGCTCTTCATGCTCGACAAGACTCCCAGACCGATTCAACTGCATGAGATAAATATGACGTCAATGGTGACCGTTAAATCAAAGGTTTCTGACATCGAACAAAAATGAACTCGAGGAAGGGTATCTTCCATAAACATTAAGCGGCAGGTTCCCGCAAGGTGTACACCTATGTCATATATGTAAGTTGGAAATCTATCGTTGTTGATATGAGAGGTTGCGTATTCCTTCAATATACGCTCGCGACGTGGACGACAGAAGACGATGGCATTTGTGTGGATGAGTTTGTGGCTTTGTATGGCCCTGCGACTATTTCCTGCAGGCCGTTCGGTTCATATGCCATCCATTCGGTGATGTTACTGTGGCAACACTCTTACTAGACATTAAGATTGGTCTGGCAAGCGATTTGAGCGGTCCTCCTGGGGAGCTTTTTATACCGGCTACGGAAGTGGAGGCTCTCTGTCAGCACGAGAGTGTGTCGTTGTGACGAAGGTTTATATAACTGGCTTCGTGGCTGCTGGGTTTCCACCTCAGCAGCAAGGAAATTCGCTTCCTATGGGTGAGCAGTCTTACAAGACTTGTCTCTTGAAGTAAGAGTCTGGCTTAAGAGTACATATTGACATGCCTCGAGCAAGAAAAGTGAAGCCTGGAATACTTCTTGGAATATATCTGAAGCAATGAGGGAAGCCAGCAGGAATTCATTCTTGAGAGTTTCTTGCTCGGTGCGCTTTGAACCCGTATGTGCTGCGATGTAGGGAGTACATTCAGACGTAACGATCACGCGGTCCTGTACAGAACTATGATTCTGCGTGAAAGATCGCAAGAGCACTAACCAGCCTGGCTTAGCAATTTTATGTAATGCCAAAGGTCCTTAAATACATCATATCAAACCGTGTGAGATGGATTACTGTCTCTTCCCAGGGCCAGTCTATAAATTCGTCTTTCACTGCTAGAGTCTTTGACAAACACAATTGGGACAACTCTGTGATGGTGTGTTATCAAGTCTTGGAAACATACAGACGTTCTGTTGCGGATAGAAGACCGCATTTGTGTAGTTACGGCACATAATATCGTTGCAAGCAACTCTTACCGTCGTTTAGGTGGTACAACAAATGGATATATCCAGGACGACGGAAAAGAAGAACGGCACGGCTGCTCGGATGCGTTGGTGTAGAATTCGGTCCGCGACGTGGTGATTTTCAAGGATGGTTCTTGTAAGAAATGCATTCTTCCTGCGAAAGAAGGATGCGAAAGAAGGAACCACAACGCGCTCAATGTTGCTGGTGGTTGGAAATGAAGCTCATCACTGTGAAGATATTTAAGTCTTTCATATTGGAAGGTTTATCCCCATTCGTGTCCACTGTCGGGGGCTGGGCAGCTTTGACGCGTACCGGTTTGAGCTCGAGAGTATCCTAGTCTTGTTACTCGCAAGATATAAAGTAGACATGTTAAATCAAATAAGATTCTTGCAGAAGACAACAATGAAAAGCGCGAATGGGCATGTCTCCACATCGAAGATGACGATAAAAAAAAGAAAAAAAAATTAATAGTTGTGAAGTCGATTATGAAAAAGAGTAGCATGAGTCGAAACTAAATCCAAACCTGTCGCAATAAGCCGAAATACTTCAAAGTTGATCGTGATGACCAGAGACAAGGCTATTTGGGCGTTAAAATTCGCCGAGTTTTGTCCAGAAACGAAAGGCGTGCCTCGGGTAAGACGGCTCGAGTATGGCACACCGGCCTGTCTGACGTCTCTCCGAAGACCAGACTTGGCTTTGCAAAGGTTTTGGCATCACGTCCTGGAACTCACTGCCCTTTCGCTCGTGGCGTATTTGAGTGTATGATACTACGGACAACGATGATGGGGCAATATCTAATTCTCCCTCTGGTGGTGCCGCCAGTCGTGACGTCGCAACACTTGGTTCAGGTTGCAAGTTGAGAATCGGATTTCATGGCATAATCTGCCATCGGCTATCATTATCTTGTGTCGTGGTCTTGTTGAGGCTGCTGTGGTAAGATATTATGGGGGAAGGCCACGAGTGATACGGATGCCTGGGGCTGCTCCTGGAAGCAGCGAAGCGGCGAGAATACGGATAAAGGAGTTCTTGCAAAATCTCCGGTCTCCGCTGTCCAAAGTTCGGCGCCTTGGGTCTCGCTCAAGTGGTTGTGACTTATCAGTACTTAAGACTTGGCCTGGCCGACCTCAGAAATCGATCAACCCCAATCGATCAACCCCAAGACTGGTGTGCTCCCGGGAGTTTTGATCAATGCTTTTCAGCTTCAATACTACATTGTGCGCAATGAGAATGTTGCTAAGCCGGTCTTCTTCTGAACGACGCTTTGCTTTCATCGCGAGCAACTCTGCCTGTACGTCTTGCTCTGTCTTGTTTCCGTCGTATTCAAAGGTTGAATTGGGCGTATCGTACCCCAAATTGTAGAAGATTGTATGTACCAATTGCTGTCGAAATACAAACAACCATCTCCTATAAATACCAAAAGAAAATTCTACTGTTTTCAGTAAATATCAGGCGACGAGTCCGCACATTGTCGTTGAGAAAGCCGGGCCACGGGCTCTGCTCTAATACATAAACTCTGACATAACATCCCGAAGACAAGAACTTCAAATCTGCCCATATTTGAAGAGAATCAGCTGCTTTCCACGCGGAAGCAATTCGGTCGGCACCGTAAACCCCAGAACGGAATACCGAGAGATCCAACGTCGATCCAGTCTATAGGTGATCCCAGAGCAACAAGACACCAAGTGGCCATCGCACTTTTCCTTTCCGTCTTTATTAGCTTAGGTTTATTCCAGGGCTACGAAGTTACCTTGAAACTGAATGAATATAAACGAAGGAAGAGTTGCACTCAAGACCTATCATCGCTCGAGTATATGTTGAGTTCATGAATCATCACCACAAGCTGTTGCCGTTATGGATCTGGTATTCCAAAAGCCAGGAGAACTAGAGCACATTCCTTGCACTAGCCTACGACCATACTGCGTTGAATCTTCTTCGCCCGTCAAATATTCTGTAGGAATCCTGCCAGGACTCCGTAAAGCCATGGTGTCGAGTGCGCTTGTTCCCCCCGCTTAATCCCCTACGCCCATTAGTATCAAAGACCACTGGGTATCATACACTTCCAGGAAGATACCGTTGACGAATCTGCACAGACTGAGCGTTACGGTGCTATTTGAGAACACAAACAGCACGAAGCAGGCCCTTGTCTTATATGAAACATTGATATCAGCATCGAGATCTCAGACTCTCCGCCGTTGTAGCACCGCGTCATCGTACCAAAGCCATGGAAGCGGTGGAGCGTCACAAAAGCAGGGGTCGTCCAAGTGAAAGACTTATTTTCAAGCCAGATTTTGTTGCTTAAACATGGTGATCTCACCATCTTTCTAAGTCAAAATTGCACGCCGTCATCCAAGGTTATTTGATACCTTAAGCCAGCAAGAGTCATTGTATTCTCGGTCGAAGCATGTTTTGGAACGCCCGAACAAAAGCCCCCGGAGAATAAGATAGCTCCTCCTGTCGCCTTCCTTCGTTTTTCTGATTATTGCGGGAGGAATGTAACGCGGATAATGATGGCAGGGAGATTCAGATCCGTCTGCCTTCGGAGATCCATCGAGACAACCAACCGGCACGCCTGCCCGAGAAACCTCTTGAGAAATACATGACACAGAACTGCCCTCTGATTGTTGCCTTTCAAATGCAATGGAGGCTAGAGCCTCTGAATTTATAGAAGGTCAACCCGTCAACAAGGGAAACCTAAAGGAAAAGCCAAGTCCAGGTTTCTGTTGCTGCTTTGTGTTTGTCAATAGCGCCGCCGTGCCGTTCCGTACACGTCTGCAGAATGCTATAAAAATGCGACAACGCGCATATTTACCCCGAACACAATGAAACAAAATAAGGCAAAAGTCATGCTTTATGTGTCTGCAATAAAAGCCTACACGCACCCAAACAATACATTCTTGGTAGAAGATTTCATCCCTGAGAGACGCCCGAGAGAGCTGCTTCATAGCACTCCTCTTCTAGCGTATTCATATGTCATTCTTCGGTATGGCCTGGGTATTAATGACTGTCTATGAGTTCCATGGTGTTTTAGTTATCGACTTTGTCGTTGGGCGAGGAATGGCTTGTTTTCAGCAACGACTTGGGAAGACGTTGACGATTCTTGAGCCTTCTCAAACCAGGCAACGCGGCTACGAGATATTTATACCTGCCAAGCCAGTGTCCAGACTAAACTCCGTGGGCATTTGATCACGAGATGCAGGGGCGGTGCTTGGAGGTAAGTCCACGCTTGCGGGCTGATTACGACATGTCACAACCACCCAACTCCATCCAGCCTCAGAATTAAGGTTGATGAATTAGTATTAAGCGATTATAGGGGATATTATCAAGTCACAACAAATCAACGCTCGCTTGGACAAGATACCACTCAAAGTAACCCTCAAACACTCTCTTCGTCAACAGACAACCTTCGACCCTCACCCCTCGCCCCGCCCTTAGACATGCCATACATCTCAATATCATCGTTCATCCTACTCCTCGCCGGCGAGGAGCCCCACGTGGATGATTCTCCGCCGCCGCCAGTAGCCTCGCTGAAGGCGGCCGTCGTCGCCACCGATCTCTTTGTCACGGCGCTCGCGCCGCTGGCCGACTCGTGCGGTCCCGGCGTTGCGCTGGCGCCGCTGCCGGGGAAGAAGAAGCGCCACCACATGCGGAAGGTGGGCATGCACAGTGGCAGGTTGCCCACGAGCATGGCTGTGGAGACCTCGCGGACGCACCAGAGGAACCAGATCGGGGTGGTCTGGTTTGTGAAGACGCTTACTTTCGTCAGAATCGCAGCGAGCATCTGACGTTCGTTAGAGAGCCAAATCGGAGGGGTAACAATTAGTTCTTGGGTGCTTACGACAAAGATGCCCAGGCTGAAAAGGCAGACGAGCAATATCTTTCTGTTGAAGAACAAATGGTAAGTTCGGTCGAATCACTGGGTGGGCGAGGGGCGTGATGCTTACTTCCCAATTTTCATGTTCAACCTGCTGATCAAGACGACGGGAATGATCATCAGGATGAGATCCGTGGAGAGGTTCAATGACAACTGCAGGCTGTTGTAGTGAAGCCAGGTCAAGCACTCCACTGATCGCATGTCGTTAGAACAACCAACATCTAGGGACCAAACGATGACCACGACTCACTGTTATCCGGTTCCAACACGAGGTAACCCGAGAACGGCCGGCACCATCCTCCGTACAAAGCGACGATGACTGCGACGTATGCCAAGGCAACATATGCCGAAACAACCACCCACATCCTGCGATGATGACAGAAGAGACTGTGTGTCCCCGGGGCCAATGTCAGCCATCCTGGTCCATGAAAAAGTCTGAACGAACCGGAGGAGCCCACGTACGTCAAGCGGTGGTATAATAACAGAATGCAGCATTTGTTGCCCCAAAGAGTCGTCTGCATGGACGTCTCTGCGAGGATGTTGAGAATCCCGAGCTTGCGACCCACGACGAAGTTATCCTCGGCAGTGATGTTGTCAAGGTCGACGTCCGACACGATCTCGAAATATAGGAACAGCGCGACGATTGCAGTTGTGTATGTGATCTAACATGGTTTAAAAGTCAGCCGGAGGTTTTGTCACTCGGGAGAAAAATGATTAGGAGAGCACACGATGGGGAACGTACGCTGAGGAGCAACATCAAGATATCATCTGGCGGGATTTCCTTGATAAATTTGCGCTTTCTTACAATATACTGCGATGTGCTTTTCGCCCAAAGGTCAGTTCATCGTCAAATTGAGACCAGATAGTGAAGTCGGACGAACAATCGGATGACAACCGCTGTCATGGCCAAACAGTACCAGACCCAGCACTCCGCCGTCATCTCCACCGGGTTTCCCATATTCGTGACAGGATGCAACCACGCCGAGCCAAACCGAACCGTTCTTCGTATACTCGATTCGATGTTGGCATCGATGCCGTTGACCCCGAGATCTACCATTGGTGTCCGTCAAGAGCGTTCATCGGAAGTTGTGACTCCAGCATTCAATTGCGACGATGCGCTCCGACGGCATGAGAGGGGTCCATAGAATTATAAGACTCGAAAGGAATTTGAGCTGGCCGCCGACTAGTTCTAGGCTCGGCAGTCCCTGGCCGCATCCGGCAGGCTGCCCTCCGAGTGCCAGGCAAGCCAGAACGACTCGAGGGATGGACGGGCACTTGCCCCCTAACGACACAAAGGCCTGTAAGCTCGGATCGTAACCTAGAAGCCACCCGCGCAATGCCATGCCGTCGTTTTGGAGGGGGTATGCGATAGCTGGAGCTATCTGTCGCCAACAGTTGCGTGTGGGCGCGAGACAAACGGCGACGAAGAGAGGCCCGGCGGCTCGGTCGAGGCTGATCATCACCAACTTTGCGCCGGAAACAGCCAACGCCCATATCGACATAGCTTTGAGGCGTAGCACTAGCTACTCATGGGATAGCTTTCCGGGGACTGACTTTCGCCTCTTTCCTCTCTTCTCTGACTCTTGGGTTGCCCTCGTGCACAACATGATCGCAAGACAAGGGATATCATCGAATACCGACCCGATGACCGTTTACCCAGGAGGGTGGTTGAGACAAATCAACCGCCGAAAGCAGGCGCAGTCTTGCTTCCAGCCTCACTTTCGGAGTTGACGCCGCCTCCACGAAACAGTAATCACAAATAAGGTCTGGAACACAGACGGAGAGGTAACAGTCCGTTTCTCCGTCTTCATTTATTTGAGGTGCCCGTCTGGGTATATCTGAAGAGCCTCACAGCTGGAGAACTTGCACCTCTTAGATGGCGAAAAGGGCGAGCGAAAGGACACCAATGCGACAGTAGCGACCCGCCTACAGGTTATTTGACTTTTTTCTTGGCCAGAGGCAGGCCGCGTTGACTGGGTTGAACTTTGACACACGAGGTTATTTCTCGAAGAACTGCGGGTGTGATGGATGAAGTCCGAGCCTTACTCCCCGCAGCTTCCCGCTCTGCAGCCGCTGGCACATTCCGCGCGGGGGCCATGCAGCCAAAGATGGCGGCACCGGTTGCAAAGTCGACGCAGGACGGGAGCACCAATTAGTGGGCAACTAGGGTAATCACAGCGCCCGCTCGGTTCAGCGTGGGACTTCTTTTCTTGGAACCCATTGCAGCTGGCAGTAATAGGTGTAGTCGGCCGCGATGTGATTCGTTCGCATATCCTGCAGGTGAGATTGGATCGAGCACATAGGAAAACCAACTGGAACGGCGGAGACGGGATTGGTGTGTTGAAGTTCGCAGATCGTCCTGAACGAATGCCTGTGGGGGAACGCTGCCAAGGACGTCCTTCCTACAGGCCAGGTGACGGCGAATCGGCTGTCTTGCACAGATGACTAGGCCTCGAGCAGGGTGGTGGGCATCTCGTTCTTCGATGCCGGGTCGCAATGTTGAGACCTTGAACCCGCACAAGAGTGTCGCATCGTTGTTCGACCAGCCTTTGGCGCGCTACCGGTTTGCCTGCGAACAGCGTGAGGAAGCGTCGACGAAATTGTCATCCGGAGCTTTCTTACCTGAGGGAGTTTGGGTGACGACGACAAGGCTCGGAGAAAATGGTAGCCGTGGGCGACTAGGTAGGTATTTGATTATGGTTAAGTGGGTTCGACCTAGAGATGGATGGAGGCTCTTGTCTGACGAGTTGAGCGGAATTTCGACAGCCGCGCTAAAACGATCTGGATGTACCGTCTTCATTGTTGCTTCCTTTGCGTTTCCGCGGTTCCGTGCCTTGAGGTCGGCGTTCGGATATGTTCGCCGACAAAGATCGACATTGTTTGTCTGCTGCCATGCCGAGGATGACGTCTGGAAGTTGACCTGGTGGATGCAAATGACGGAGGTGAACTGCAGGGAATGTCGGCCGTGTCCTAAAAATGGTATAATTTCTGCGGAGGGACGCAACTTTCAGCGGTCCAGAGATGCGAGGTTGAGACAAGGTTGACTGTCGAACTGCAGCTGCAGAGGTAATGACATAATTCTCAATCTTCAAAAGGTCTGGCTGAAGACATGATGAAGTTCGGACCACTTGCAGCGGGTGCAGTAAGCTTTCAGCGCAGGCTTGATTGACCTCGAGGGAGGTTCGAGACGTGCAGGCACCGCAGTACGTACCGACTCGGGTTGGACAGACCGACAGGCAACCTAGCAGGGGGCTCTGGACCCCCCGCCTTGAGCATCGAACCCCCACGAGTGTCGCACGCACGTGAAGGAGCCCTGCGGTTTTGTTCTAGAACTGCGTTACCTAAGGAAATGCCTGGGGGTTGGCCCGCGGAAGAAGTCGGGCGCAACGGTTGATGACGGGCTTCGTCGCATGCGAATGCTTCACTCGGTCTTCACATCTCCCGACTGAACGTTATCTGGAGCCGTCACGAGACACTCATCAGACGCACCCAGATCTAAATGAAAGAATGGCCCGAGAGAGGGGTAATGAGGGCGATCACTGGCATTCGGAGCCCGAGGCCAGTTCCTTGCTAGGTTCCATTGAGAAGGGCTCAGACTGTGGACTCGAACTGTGAGAGTCACGAAAGAACCCGATATTGGATCTCTGGACAGGCAAGTACCGGTGGCGTTAGATTAATGCGAGCTGGACTGTTGTTACTCTGACTCCATAGCGACGGTTACATCCAGTGTCTGGTCCCCGTTCTCGTACATGGCATGCGGCGGTGCAGTGCCCGATGCCGGCTGGGTACTATTCCCAATCTTCCGCAGCAGCTGTCAGTGTCAAGTCGGATGGCACCCCGACTCGAGGCCAGTGGACATGAATCCGCCGGCCGGGACGGGATGTGGTCGACTGCCCAGCGCCCAGCATGCGGGTGCCACCTTGGGCAGTTGACAGGTCAGCTTTTCGTCTTGGCTTTCCTCTTTTCTCCTGCCGCTGGTGATGTCTGTATTCGTATGTATGTAGTTTTCTGGATATATAGTCCGAAACCACACGGGCGGGAGTCTGTTCATACACACGGATAGGCATCAGCACGCGGCTGGGAACTCACCGGCCTGCAGTTCGCTTGGAGACGAACTTATGTGGCGAGGCACCGGCGCCGTTACCGATAGGGGAGGGGTTCCACTAAATTTAATAACTGTTGGCTAGAGTCTTCTGGTGATCGGGGCGCCTGGCCAAAGAAGGGTATCGTGTGAGAAATTTTCCCAGCCGTGATATTTAGCAGCGACTCTCCGCTCTCCTAACGGGGGAGTCGCGGTTCTGACAGAGGCGGGTGATGCTTCGGGCTTCCTCAACGGTTGGTCATCACAGGCTATTGTTTCCCCGATATTCCCTCCGAGCCGAGGGGCTAAAACGAGAAGCTTTTCGTCCCATGGCGAGGGACGAGAGTGCAGACCGCAGAGGGACCAACCTAGTCAGGGTCTCGTTGAGCACAGACAGGACCCTTCAGTCTCGGATCGACTTGTCGGGGCAGGCAACTTAGTCAAGGCATTTACCACAGAAACCATTGGTGACTGTGAAGTGGCTCGCACTCGAGGTCCTGGACTGTGGACATTGGTGTGCGGTTGAAGAGCATCCGGCCAAGTAATTATTCCTGCAGTTGGCCAGGGACATATGATACTGAGGTAAGGTACCTAAGCATGCAAAAGGCCCTCCGCGTCTCCAGCGGTGCCTGATCTGATGGAGGCGGGGATTTCCGAACCTGACAGTGCAGTCAAAGAAAGACCGGACATGAAACCTCGTTAGGCAGTTGTTTCGTCTTCTCGGAATGGAAGCGTCAAATGCGCCCTGCTGCCCTGCCCTTAACGTCGTCCTCCCGTCCCGGTCGGTTTCTGCAACGGTGTGACGGGAGCGCAACACGTACCAGCTGCTTCTATTCAATCTTCCACGGGCCATCAGCGTTCACCCGTCAACCCAGGCTGTCCTTCTCTCTTCCCATTGAAACCGCGTGTCCGTCGGCAACGGTTGCTGCAGAAGAAAAAACATGGCTTCCTTGCTGCGCAGAAAGTGCTGGTCGAGTGCAAGGAAAACCCTTGGCAGGTTCAGTGCGCTGGGCACGGTCCAGTTCCTCAAGTTAGCGACCCTCAACACCCTTGATAGTCCCAAAGCTTGGATCCGCCGACATGCGCAAAAAAAATGTGTCCACGGTCTCGCTGACCAGTCATGGCCCTCCAATGCCAGTGCAACTCAACCGCCCATCCATCTGCATCTGGGCAGCCCATCCCATGCGCTCCAGCGTCCATCCTTCTCTGCCCGGGGGTGTGTCCCCCCACCATTATCAGCTGCTCGTCCTCTGCCGCCGGCCGCTGCTCGCCGTCCTTCTGCCAGCCTCTCTCCACCAAGAGAGGCAGCTTTTCTCTGCTGCCACCCTCCCCTTCTTGACTTCATCCATCGCCCGTTAACCAATCCGTCTGACGTCTCTGCTACCCAACAATCGAGAGAGATCACGCATCCTCACCAAATTCTTTGGCGCGAAGCACTTGCGCTTCTCGCATTTGACACGTAGGGCAGCCTCCAACTGTCCCCACGCAACTCGAACACGACCCCACGACCACCTGCGCTGTGCATTCCCCTTCTTCATGCGCAATCTACCGACAACCTCCGACCAACTGACTTTCCGAACTGCCTCTTCGACTATTGGTATTGATCAACTATCTCGACGATCTGAACCACTGAAAGTGAACCGGGCGGAAAAAGGCCTACGAAAAGATTTCGGCGCATTGGTATTTTTGGAATTTGTGCTTCGGAACCCGAATTAGCGGCTCGGAAAATCAGTGTCGCCATGATGGACGCCGCATCTTGGAACCAAGATCCGGCCTTGGCGTCATCCCACGATGAGGAGTTCCAGCAGTTTTTGAACATGGGAGGCATGGGCAACTTGGGCGACTCGATGACCTTCGACTTCAACGACTTCCAGTCCGGAAGTGGCTCCGGCATGATGCACCAGTCCGGCCGTGAACAGCTCGACACACAGATGGGAGGAACCGACGCCAATATGGTCATGAGCAACGCCAATGCC